AAGTATATATATATATATATATATATATAATTTGTATGAATAAGATAATTAAGTCCACTTTTTTTCAAAACATAATGACAATAAAATCGTATGGTCCTAAAATAGGCTTAATTTTCTTCATGTAAAATATTATTTCTATTTTTTTTTTCTTTTGATTTTGCAAGAAATGTATAACCTCTGTATGTCCAGTCGGATATATTAGCATCACATAGCCTACTTACTGTATTGCACACAAACGACACAAAGTGTGCACTATATTTAGATTAAACAATTTTAAGTAAAAGTGTTAAGACTTTTTTGGGCATTGGAGATACAACACCTAGGAAAAAAAATGGATTATAATTAATTCAAGAATAAACGTACTGCTTGAAAATAATGGCCATTTTGATGTCATCTGTAGTAAGTACTAAGGAAAATAGAGATTTCATTGCTGCTAAAATGAAAAAGAAAAAAAAAAGCTATTGCAGAATTACATTCATGTCAACATAACATTGTTAAATTTCTTTATGCAGAAAAAAGGTTTAACTCAACAGGAAATTCAATTGAGGAAAGAAGATTACGACTAAAGAAAAAAAAAAACTCAATTACAGCGCTTAGAAACTTTTGGATCCCAGAAGATTTACTTATTCCTGATAAAACAACTGACATATTTATATTTTTCCATTTTTTATCCATCATTTAGGAATTAACAAAAGTAAATACCAGTCACATATAAATATCGGAAGATCATAATTAAATTTAAGTATGTTTAAGTATGTACAATATACAAAATATATTTTTGGAAGTTCTAATTCTCAAGGTGTTTCTGAATGAAGTGTCACGAATGAAAAAGTCACTCTTAACAGATAATATGTGACCCTGGACCACAAAAGCAGTCATAAGGGTAAATTTTTCGAAAGTGAGATTTATACAAGAAAGTTGAATAAATAAGCTTTCCATTGATGTATGGTTTGTTAGGATCGGACAATATTTTGAAATCAGTAGGGGATGAAATAATTATTTTCCCCACTGTATCTACAGTAGGAAATGTAAAAAATATCTTCATGGAACATGATCTTTACTTAATATCCTAATGATTTTTTGGCATGAAAGAAAAATCAATAATTTTGACCCATACAATGTATTTTTGGCTATTGCTACAAATATACCCCAGCGACTTAAGACTGCTTTTGTGCTCCAGGATCACATATAACGAATCATTATCACATACATCTGATGGCATAATTAAAAACTTAACTTTTAAATTGGGAAGAACTGATTTTAAAACTAACTTTGCTGTCTAAAATCATATTTTGCAGTCTTAATGAGAAGGGAAGATAAAATGGTTAATTTCATATTCTACATCAGGGGTGGGCAAACTTGGCCCTTCCAGGCCACTTTCCTTCAGAGTTTAGCTCCAACCCTAATCAAACACACCTGAAGCAGCTGATCATTGTCTTCAAGACTACTAGAAGGCTACAGGCAGGTGAGTCGTATCAGGGTTGGATCAAATCTCTGCAGGAAAGTGGCCTGGAAGGGCCAAGTTTGCCCATCACTGTTCTACATCTAAGGCCATTTTCCCACTAAATGCAGGCACCGCAGGTGATGGCAGTGGATACAGCAGGAATTCCTCTTCCTCACCATGGCAACTCAGTCTCTGGTTTGATGCATTGTAATTGAGAAATAAAACAATGCAAAACACTGTATCACAGTGGCACTAAGAGCCTCACCTTTGGGTTTTGACTTCAAGACACCAATTGCAACAAAAAAATTCGGACTCAATGTCATCTGAATGTTCGCTAGGAGCCTTTCAAATATTCGCTTCAATTTTTCCAGCAGGTATTGTATGGAATAGAGCACAGTGTATTGCTTTGAGAATTGGAAATGAGTGACACAGCATGTGTATATCTGGCATTTGTTGAGGTTATAAAAAAAAAAAAAAGGCGACAAGAATATGGAGGTTATACACATTCATGGTCATTGATGATGGAATGTCATTGTTGGCTCTGCAGAAGAAAAACCTCTGATTTCAGTATTAAAACTTCCAATTTCAGTCCATTTCGGCATTGTACATTTTCAGTTGAAACTAACTCTTTCAAGGCTTATCGAATCTTGTGTTTCAAAGGGAAAGTCCCAGGGACTTCATATGGAAACCCTCCACACCACATTCCTTTTGGAAATACAAAGTCAACTTCCATTACTCTTAGGTAATAAGACTAAATGGTGCAAACTGCCTTTATAGAGTATTAAAAATTTTTGGGGAAAAAAACAAAACAAAAAAAACTACACGATAACATAATCCGACTAAACAGAGAGGTCCAAATTGTATATTTTCCCATTCATTTGCATTGTTAGACTTAATTTTAGATCAATAAACCGTCATTAAGAATGTCTTTTAATTGAAAATAAATCTTAATGAGCTAAACTATTAAATAACAGTTTGTAAGAACAGTGGTAATTTTATAGTTTAATCAGCTCACAGCCATTTGGAGAGAAATACTTTAAGGAATGGAGGAATATCTAGGGAATATAGTTGATTTTGGCTCTTGATCTTGATACAACACATCCTTGAGCGTCCAGGTGGAATTTTTTCTAATCATACAAGATCAATAAACACAGTACGAATACTTCCTCACCTAGAATGGCAAACATGTAAGACACAGAGCTGTTGGAATGCTGTTCCAGTCATTGGGTGTCTTTCTCCCTCGTTTATATCCTTTCATTCGTGTCCTCCAATTTTTCTGAACTGCAGTAGCAGTGTCCTTCTCTCTTTCCTCTAAGCCACAGGTTGGAAAGTGATCTTTGTGTGGGTGTCTTGTATATACAGCAGCCGTACGACCAGCAAGAACTCTCTTCTGACACACTCTGGCTCAAGAGTCTTGTGGAGGTACTAAGCACATATGTCCTCTTAGAGAACGCTTCTTCTGACAGTCTCTTTCTCTCAGTCTCTCGTGAAAGTCCCCAATGTCCACCATTATTAGGATATGATGGCCGGCGACCATCTGACCACTTTCAGGTTATCTACGCTCACTGAGCGCTTCTTGGCTGCTTTTCTCAAGTCTTTATATTTGTCGTCACAAAGCCCGGAGATCGCCTGTGAGAAACATGAGAAGGGGAGACAGACATTGAAATTGTGTGATTTTTTTTTTTAGACTACCACTGCACTATCATTCAAAAAGTTTGGGATTGGTAAGATTTTTAATGTTTTTGAAAGAAATCTCTTATGCTTACCAAGGCTGCGTTTATACACTAAAAACAGTTATAATGTGAAATACTATTATAATAAAAAAAAATTTTTTTCTATTTTTAATTAATTTTAAAATTAATTTATTCCTGTGATGGAATGCTGAATTTTCAGCATCATTACGCATCAGTCTTCAGTGTCACATGATTCTTCAGAAATCATTCTAATATATGTTAATATATATGCTGCTCGAGAAACATTTCTTCTTATTATTACCTATGATTATTATCTATGACCATTAGCTTACTATTATCTATGTTGAAAACTGTGAATAATTTGCTTAATATTTTTTTGTGGAAACCGTGATACTTCTTTTTTTTACAAGTTCAATGTAATGCACCCTTGCTAAATATGTTTAAATCTAAAACCTGTTAGTATCAGTAAGTAGCATATTTCAGTAATATTACTTATAATATTAATTTTAATACTCTATATCAGGGGAGTCAAACTCAATTCCTGGAGGGCCGGAGCCCTGCAGAGTTTTGTTCCAACCCTGCTCCAACACACATGCTCCCCTTACTTAAGGTGTTCCCCCAGGGTTCTGTTCTTGGCCCTTTTCTTTTTCTACATTATTATTATTATTATTACACTTATATTATTAACTCATAGTCATCTGCTGATTTATAAGAGTTAACAATGTCATTGAGTAGACACAGAATTAGCTAGATTCACATTTGATACAACTGAAAGTGTCACAGAAAGAGTATTGGTTAAACTTGTACTTTCTGATGCAAGAACCAAATTTCCAAGTCCCACCACCTCCAAAAATAAGTGGTAAAAAGTTTCATTCCTGAGACAAGATACAACTTGTGTCCATTATTTTGAGATGACAGATGATTGTGTGTGGGAGCGTATAAAGAGGACCAGTGCAAGATGGAAGCAGGGGGCTGGTCCTTATGAAAGAACTGGATCATAAACCACTGATTGATTGAGCTGTCCACCCACAGGCCACTGACTCTAAATGGGCTGGTGAGCTATTACACCACCAAAGGCAACTGTGCGCACACACACACACACACACATACTTGTATTTGTGGTTTACGGGGACTCTCCATAGGCGTAATGGTTTTTATACTGTACAAACTGTATTTTCTATTGCCCTACACCAACCCTACCCCTAAACCTACCCCTCACAGGAAACTGCTGCAAGTTTTTGAATTTCATAAAACACCGTTTTGTATGTTTTTTAAGCCTTTTGTTTTACGGGGACACAGGAAGTGTCCTCATAAACCATGTTTACGTTGTAGTACCCATGTCATTATACACATTTGTGTCCTCATAAACCATATATACCTGTACACACACACACACACACACACACACACACACACAAATACAACTGAACTAACTAACATCATTATAGGCCTGGTCTTGTCAGGACTGTAATTGGGCAGCATCAAGGCTGAATGCTGGCATAAGACACACATGGGGATTCAGGCAAGGTAATCACTCAGCCCTGCTGCTATTGAACCAATGGACCAATACAACATATCACGATATTCCTTCTTAGTGAGAGCTGTACCAAATCAAGCTTTCAAGTTTTACTGCCATATTCCTTATAACTTGCTGGAACAACAAATTCAGTACTGCAGTCTGCCAAGATATTGGACTTTTCATGAAAACCTAGAAACCACAGCACACTGAGATGTGAATGAGATCTTGAGTGACAATCTGAGATACATATCTTGAGCTATATAATGTGTGCTAATGATCGAGAGTAGTATTGACCACTCACCTCAAGCTTCTGGGCCTTGTCTCTGCTGAGAGGCTCCAGGGGAAAGCTGAGGTTGTTCGCCTCAGAAAGTGAACGCAAGTCAAAATAGTACTTGGCATACACGCTTGATGGAACGTTAATATTGAACTGCAGCAGCTCCAGAAACTGTCGCTCCAACTCATTCCTGGTGGGAGAGAGAAAGCAAAAATAATTAGCTTTGTGCATGTTCCTTTTGACATTTGTCAGTGGGCGAAAATAACTGAAAAGAAAATCTTGACAGTTAAGCTATTCAAAGAAATTCTGATTTAGCATGTTTAAAACTACAATCCTGACAAGAAAACCAAACGACAAGCCCTGATCATCTGTTCATATTAAAAATCTTCCTTTATTTATCCACAAACTTCTTACCACCAATGAAACTTCTGAAAGTTCAAAATAAACAATCTATTGTCACCCCTTCCTACGAACCGCATAATTATTCCAACACATGCAGAAACCCACCAGCTAAATATAACAGTGAAGCCTCTGACAACAAAAAAGCAACCAACAACCACAAACCCACACTTTGTGGTCCTCCATGCTGTTTGCGGTGTGCTTTGAGAACAATAATACTGCCTCTGTCACAGAATCTTTAGTCAGGATGGGCTTTAAAATAACTGTACTCAGCAGGAGTTGAAAGGGCAGATGTGACATGCTGGAAGTGTCAAGTATCACTCTTTATATTTGTCAGCTCAATTTATTGGTACCTTACATTTAGGGATATTATATATGGTACCTTAAGCTCTATAGGATATAGTCTCCAAAAAATGTCACAAAAACATCATAAATACCAATTCTACAAATGCTTAGAACCTTAGAAAAGCCACCAATGGTTAAAGTAATAGCACGATTCTTGATTTGTGGAGGGCACTAACCTCTGTTCAACATAAAATTAAAACAGACCCTACATACAATTAAATTAAATTAAAACATGTTCCTTATTTGTTAGTGAGTATCCTGCTTCATTCAGAAATCCATTTTATCATAAAAGAAAAATGAGTTGTGAATAGCGTTTTACATTAACTTCAAGTCAGCATATATCTTAGAAATGTTTGAAGACTGAGCAGCAAAGCTATGTTTCCATTCACAGTTGTAAATTTAACTTGTATGAAAAATGTGAATATTGCATAAAACATTTGCAAGTAAAGCACTGTTTTCATCACGTGTTCATGAGAATGGTGTTCAAGATACTTGTTGCTTCCTGGGAAACTGGTGCAAATGATCAATAATACAAATGGAAGTTGTTGAAACCGACAACGCCGTTGTAGCCCTTTTTTCCTACATATTAAATTACTTGCACCTAAGAGTGTTGTCATGTTATCTTGAATTCGGATGTGCAAGAGACACACACTTACATGTCTTCCACGGTGATGTCTTTGAGGATCTGGCAGTAGTCAACATTCCATACGGCCTGATCATCCCACACTTTTGACGCCAACAGGATGGCACCCAAAACAATCCTCTTCCAGTTAGCAGGACAGATGTCAATCTCTGCATATGTTAATAATCTCTCCAGATACACCTAAGAGAGAGAGAGAAAATGCATTCATTTTGTTTTATCATAAGTTGAACATAAATGAGATTTGTCTAATGGGTGTCGTTCAATATCGATATAAAGCATCTTGACAATCAAGTCAACTGTTAAGATTCTGGTGACTGACCCTTGCATTTCTGTTTTTGGAGCAAGGTTACTGCAGCATCACTGCAAATATGCGATTATTGTGCAAGACTGACACGCAGGTCAGGAGGCATGAATGACGGGAGACAAACACATCTGCTCAACCAACCAGCAAAAACACCTGATGCCTCACTGGTAATAAACTGCAAACAAACACCATTCAGTTTTAACGGCACTAATAGAAAAGTGATTTGTTTTTTTCTGACATGTACCATGAATCCTTTAAAAAACATTGGAGTGCAATGTAAATATAAAGTTTACGAAGAATTTCTGTCAGGTTTCAGGGTCCATCATAAAACAGAGACTGCATTTAGAATTACAAATGACTTGCTTCTGGTATATAACCAAGACTGCATTTCACTCCAGTTTTACTAGACCTTAGTGCTGCTTTTGAAACTATAGATCATGACATACTCTTACATTGATTAGAAAATTGCATTGCCTTAAGCTGGTTTAGAATTGACCATTACCAATTTATTTGTTTTAATGTGGAACTAGCAAATCTAACATTAGTAATTATGGGGTGCCACACGGATCTGTGTTAGGCCCCCTGCTGTTTTCAATATATATGCTGCCCCTTGGAAATATGAACAAAAAATTGGATTAGGTGAGTCTGGTTCTCTTCAAGCTTTTTTCTCCAACACCTCACCACCTTGACACGGTCACCTGAACTGCTCACTGGGCCTCAATGAGATTAAATGTAATATTCCTGTTCATAAGAATCCAAACAATATTGTAATATTGCAACATGCATTTTCTGTAAAGCTGTTTTGAAACCATCTATATTGTGAAAAGCGCTATACAAATGCATGTGGAAGCACTGATTTGATTATACTTAAAATGACCATTCAGTACTATGGTAAATATTTCAGTACTTGGAAAATAAGACGGATTCCCTCACCAAGCGATTTTGGCAAATCTTAAAGATAGGAAGCTCTGGAATTTTGCTATATTTCATGATTTTTGAAAAAGGCGGCAGAAATACACACTAAATCATCAAAAATACACTGTACCATTGACTCCTAAATCACACGGACACATTATTTCTCTAAACATTTAGGCATTGCAATTTTATACCATACAGATGAGAGAAAAATATATTCTGATCAAACTGCTTCCTGAGGCACTCATACATTTTCCATGTCTGTTTAAATGTTCTCTGTTATGAGACTGTACACGGTCGAAACATACTGTTCAACACCACAGGAATTTTGAAGGAGAACAGGTAGATGCCCGAGCCATAATTTCTGTTTTATCCACTTTAAGTCTGTTGAAAGCAAAAAACAGCACACCTCTTTTTAACATGCCACATGATTCAAGATAATCTTCCTGTCTGTTGGACAAATAAAATGTCAAAGGCTATTACTATGTTTAGTGGCAAATAATAAGTACGATCACTAGCAATAGTGATGGTTCCCTAAGTAACTCTAATAATACTTCTTTGTGTACTTCTAAAGGAACTTATAAACATTAATTCTTGAGTGGTTGAATCGTAAGTCTGTTCTCTGTTTGGCGTGGTGTATGACAGTATGCTGTAGCCACGGGCGTCTTTAGCATTCATAAACACTGCTGATGGATGTAGGCGAACAAAGATGTCCTTATGAAATGAAAAATGAATGATGTATGCAATGCAAAAAAGACGTAGCAGCACAAACGCACATACACACTCAATAGAGGACAACAATGTCAAATAATATTAGTTTTCCCACAGTGAGAAAGAAATCTAATAAGAGCTCAATTTTGTTTGTAGAAAGTGTAAGACATAAATCGCACGTTTAATTGGTTCCACTGCATCGACGGGCTCCTCCCGTGGGCAGTTGTGCATTAAATATGTGCTTATGAGAGTATGCTTGTGTGTTTTTCTGAGCTAATCTCCTCTACGCTGTTCAAGATGAACTAGTGTCAGCAAATGGGCAAATTACACACCTACAATTTATAAAACAACAACCTACGGAAACACTCCAGGGACAGCAGTCAGCACCTTCATAGAAAACACTAACCTGGGTAGAGCTTTGAAAACATAATTCAGTTTTTATTCAGCTGAGTCATAATAAACATTTTAAGAGGGCAAATTACCATAAAGCAGTGTTTCCTGTAGTGTCATTTAAGTATTAATTATATACTATTATAGAATTTATTAACATTTGGAATATTTTTAGTTTTTTTTTTTGTTGTTGCATTTGTCATTTTTATTATTAATATATTTTTTAAATATATATTTCTGGTTAGCTTCATTTCAGTTTTAGTAATTGCAGTACTTTAGCTTAAATTTATTTTATTTTAGTTTGTTGCCAAGGTAACTATTTAAATTTTTATGTATAATGCATATTTTATTTTTATTTCAAGTAATAAAAAATATTTAGCTTTAATTAAAAAGTGTTAGCACCAGCAACAGCCAATCAGATTTTACCAGCATCTCTGCACCTGTTGCCCCCTACAGGTCAAGGAACAGGCTCGATCTGTCTCAATCTATATTTAGAAACAAAGAAACGCACACAATCTGTCTATCTGAGAAGTCTATCAGTTCATAGACACAAAGATTCTGATCGCCAACAAAATATCTATGTTGAAGCTGCACTCAGTTTTTATTAGTTTCAGACTTTTGACTATAGGTATTAAGTCTGGTCCACTTTGCCGTTTTTCTGGCCATGAATCATCTAGGAAGAGACTGTCTGACTGATATGTAAAGTAATTTACCACAGTTAGCATTTTATGTTTAATGTGTTTAGGTGTGAGTACATCTGAAATCATTTGGTACTACAATAATAATAATAACAATAATGCAACAATCTACGATAAAGGTTTTACATATAATAATAGTGAAGTAATCATAGGGATATTTATGTTGATTTTGTGGTCAGATCTTCCAGTCATCTAGAGGTAATAAATTGATTAGATTGCAGTTAACAATTTTGAGGACACTCAACATTTTTTTTTCTCTAACTGAGGTAGAGATCACACTTCCATTGGACCATCAGTATAGATTATAACTCTTTTAAACACACACACACACACACACGCACACACAGGTTTGTTTTTGTGAATTGTGGGGACATTCCATAGGTGTAATGGTTTTTATACTGTACAAACTGTATGTACTATTGCCCTACACCACCCCTACACCTAAACTTTGTGCATTTTTACTTTCTCAAAAAAACTCACTCTGTATGATTTATAAGCGTTTTGAAAAATGGGGACATGGGGTAATGTCCTCATAAGTCACCTTCTCCTTGTAATACATGTCATGCCATTATACAAATTTGTGTCCTCATGTGTCACAAAAAAGCACACACACACACACACACACTTTCCCTTAAGCCCATCTCAAGCATTCACAGCCCCTTGTATGTCTAGAATTTGTTTAATGACACCTCATGAAGGTATTTGGTTGGAAAAGTGAGAAGGGATGGGCCTTCAAAAGAAGGATTTCATCATAGAGGAGGAACAGTCACACTCAGACAGCTGCTGGGCTTAGCACCCACTAATAAAGCACTAAATATGACAACCATTTTCACCTGAGTGATGGTAAATCCACTTCACTGATGGTAAACCCTATTTTAACTTGTGGTATCAGCCAATCCAAATAGACACGGATTAATTTTTATTGGTCCACGATCAAGTCACATGACCTTTCACTCACCAGAGTAACTATGGCACACTCAGCCGTGAGCTGGGCGGCACTGAAGAGTGTACGGACAAATTTGTAGATCTGTTTCTGTTCTGGGTCGTGCTTGTCATAGTCTGACGGCATCTCCAATTTCTGTGGAAAGAGGAAGTTTTAGAACATTCTGGCTTGTTCAGGATGTAATTAAACATCTTAGAAATGAGCTGCAGAAATGAAACACTTACTGAAAGTGGATGAAGTTTTTCATCAAAAATGTCTAACAGCATCCGCCCGTCCACATTTCTGAAAGGAGAAGGGTGAACTGAAATTACATTTGGGAAGACTGGTACTTATTCTAAGCTGTATTCATATAAAGAATTAAAGAACTAGGAAAGAGTATTGTGATACATTTTCAGTGTTACTAAAACCTTGTGTAAAAGTTATATTTCAACAGCTCTGAAGCCTTAGAGTTTGAAGGTTATAAAGCATTAAGGGTTTATATGGTATTACAGCTTTAAGAGAAAAAAAAAAGACTCAAAGCCAAAAAAAAGACGGATATAAAAGTATTTAGACAGACAGACAGATAGATAGACAGACAGATAGATAGAACACCTGATCTGATGAGAGAATTGAACAACATACCTGTTCTTTATGTGGTAGTATATTGCGAGGGCAACACTGCAAATAGAAGAAATAGCAGAAATAAGTTGATATAACGGTAGTCAACACGATGAAGCAGCATTACATTCAAGCACAAGGGGAAGTAGTATATAGCATTATCTTTTGTATTGCACAGCTTTTGCGTTGTCCTCACTACCTGTACAATGAGCATTTAAAGGGTTAGTTCACCAAAAATGAAAATTCTGTCATTAATTACTCACCCTCGTGGTGTTTCGAAACCCGTAAGACCTTCGTTCATCTTCGGAAACACAATTTAAGATATTTTTGATGAAATATGAGGGCTCTCTGACCCTCCCATAGACAGCAAGGTAACTACCACGTTCAAGGTCCAGAAAAGTACCAAGATGATCGACAAAGTAGTCCGTGTGACATCAGTGGTTCAACTGTAAAGTTACGAAGCTACGAGAATACTTTTTTGCGCAAAGAAAACAAAAATAATGACTTTATTCCACAATTTCATCTCTACTGCATCACTTTGGACGCGCATTCACGACAGTATCATGACGCGAGCGTGTGGCGGCACTGACTCAGATCCGGCGTAATGACGTCATCACGCCGGATCTGGGTCAGCACCGGCGACGCCACACGCTCACGTCATGGTACTGTCGTGAACGCGCTTCCAAAGTGACGCAGTAGTGACTACTTTGTCGTGCCGTCAGAATGAGAGTCCAAACAGCTGATAAAAACATCACAATAATCCACAAGTAATCCACACCACTCCAGTCCATCAATTAATTAATGTCTTGTGAAGCGAACAGCTGCATGATTGTAAGAAACAAATCCATCATAACTTCAAACCATCACTTCTGGCCAAAATACCAGTCCATTATCCATAATAGCGCTTCTTCCAGTGACAAAGTCCATCCCCTGTTGTTGACCCTTTCACTTCAGTTTTGGACTGTTTTTGCTTGTAAACAGTGCTTGATCTGTGCATATTTCTCTCCTGATTCAGACTTTTTTTTTTACTGAATAAAGCAATATTATGGATTATGGACTATGGAATTTAACTGAAAGCAATAGTCTGAAAAAAAAAAAAGGAAAAAACCTTAATTATGGATTTGTTTTGTACAAACATGCAGCTTTTCACAAGACATTAATTGAAGGACTGGCTTTATTTGGATTACTTGGGTTTATCATCTCTCATTCTGATGGCACCCATTCACTGCACAGGATCCATTGCTGAGCAAGTGATGTAATGCTTTCTCTAAAACGGTTCTGACGTTGACGGAGGGTGAATTATTCCTTTAAAACATTTATATAGAAGGAACGAGTTGATCAGAAAAGCAATGCTGTTACTGATGCAACACAAGCCCAGAGACTCATGCAATACTGGTTCCTGCATTCTCATGTGGTTGAGTGTGGGATTTGATTAGTTCTGTGGGTGTTGTGACACGTGAAGAGATGTCTTTATTGCAGACACAAGCATTATGAGAAACACAAAACACAATCAATTGATGGCATGGCTGCTGCTACTTACATGGTTGACGTACAGACTTTTCCGTTTTTCCCGAACTGTAAAGAGAAACGCATAATTAGTAACACTAGCACAACAGCCAGTACAATTAATTAGACAAAAAGACAAGGGCGACAATTAAAGCTATGTCAGTAATACAAAGAGGTAAGCATATAACAATCTGAGGTCTCAAACTGTTGGACGCTATTTCATTAACAGTTTGGTGCCAAAGAAAATGTGCTGGAATTAAACTTTCTCTAATGTTTCTCTCAAAATTTATTTAAAAAAACTGGTTAATCGCTCATAGAGAAACTTCTGAATGTTAGCATAAAGTCTGGTCCACTTTGGAGATTACTTTAGTCAAGAACTACCCAAAGTATTCTTCTGTTTTGACTAGGGCTGTGACGTTAAATCGATGATGACGTTAGATCTTCCCAATGCATCGCGATTCTCTCTGGAATCGATTCTGAGCTTAGATTTTAACAGCAGATGGCGCTCTAATCTACTTTTTATGCACACACTCATGAAGAAGAGCGCTGAAGTGCGTTCGGCTGAGGTCTTATGGGTTTGGAACAACGTGAGGGTGAGTAATTAATGACAATTTTTATTTTTGAGTGAACTAACCCTTTAAGAATATGCTGTTCTTTTTTATTAATCTGTAGATCAGTGAATTATATGGAATCAAAAAACATACTACAGTATGTATGATAAAACGGGCAAAAAAAGGTGGATTTTTGTAAATCATTCACAAAACTATTCCAGTATAAATTAACACAGAAATTAATGCCACAAGGGGCCTCATTTACAAAGAACACATTTCTTTGTAAATCCATATGTTGTACCATATCAGTTATCACAATATGTTCTGGTTAGTTTTGTATATACAGTACATTGGCCAATATTGGATATGTGATTATGCATGCTCATTTTTTACATTAAAATGACCTTTGCTGTCATCTAATGCATCACTCATCTTTAACAACACTAATCATTTATTAACATTGTTAAAACTTTAGCAAATGTATCATACTGTACTGTAATGTTGTGACATCTAATCATTGATTTAACATTTTAGTTCGATGATGGTGATTATTATTATTATTATTATATAGATTGTATTTATTCAATTAGTACTGTATAGCATTTTTATATTGACCATTTATTGGTTATTGGCCATAAAATGAAAATAGTTATTGGCTTACTACCTAACATACCTAAATTCATAAAGTGTTGTGATGAATGGGATCAGTGGAACTGACTGGCGAATTATTCAGGATCAAAAACAGGAGTCACTTTTTTAAATCATAGACTTAATGATTTAGACGACTCACTTTCACACTGAATCTGTTCACGTGACTCATTCACTCATTGTACAAGTGGTTATTATTTATCAATGATACAATGTAACAAGTTGCTAGGCCCAATTTCCAAAGGCTCCAGCCATGCTTTTGAAAAACAAATTTTCTTTCCACACCCTCATTTAGATATCCGTCATAAACCAATCGTGCACATTTCGATCAGTTTACGCTGAGGGTTCAAGTACCATTTAATGGTGTATTTGAGGTTGGGTTGGCTGACGGTGCTGTCGTCCAGGAAGATTGTCGAACAGGAGCTGTACTTGCGTCTCATTGGACCAGACGGATGTTGCTGAAACACAAGGACATGCAGAGTACAAACTAAAATATCAGTTATTCTTAAACACACACAGACTTTCAGCAAACAGGCTGAGAATTAGGCCACCTGCAGCCCCAGATAAGCTATTATCATCTCATTTATACCGGAGTGTTTCTCTGTGTGTGTACACGTTAGTGTGGGTTAGAATCCCAATCCAGTACAACATAAACACAGTCATGTATTATGCAGGATTTCAAACTGATAAGCAACATTAATAATGCAAATAAATCATTACAATGTCAAAACAGACACAATATCATAAGTTTAAAGCAAATAAATACAGCAATGGGCAAATATTTACCTTTGACTCCGCAATGTGTGTTAACTTGCAAAGTAATAAAAGACATTAAAACAGGAACAAAACATCAGCTATTCATTGCATTTTGAGTATGAATAGCATGCGCCAATGAAATGGAAAAAAGAATCAAGTTATGCATATTAAAAGAACGGTTCACCCAAAAAATAACAATTTGCTGAAAATTTACCCATTTCTTTTTATCGGAACACGTTTGACTGGAATCGATTCTGAGCTTAGATTTTAACAGCAGATGGCGCTCTAATCTACTTTTTATGCACACACTCATGAAGAAGAGCGCTGAAGTGCGTTCGGCTGAGTCATGTAATTTCACCTCGGCTCAGAATGCTTTTATGACGCTAAACACAGCCCACTGTGAACACCCTTGTAATTCGCTTCAAACTTTTGAATTTTATGAATGATTATTTTAGGTTCAAGTGTGTGTAAGGATTTGGAAACAAGCAGAGTATGGCTTTTTCTAAAGCATGCAGCACCATCTGCTGTTCAAAACTAAGCTCAGAATCGACTTGAGAAAGAATTGCGATGCATTCGGAAAATCTCAGAATCAATGCGGAATCATTTCTCGATTCGTGATGCACCAATTTATTTTCCCAGCCCTAGTTTTGACGCAAACGATCAGCATCAAATGAACACAGTCTTTAATAGTACATTATTTTATTTTCATGAACACAGGCGCTTGACACGTGCACTAGAATGTAGGCTTGCCGTGATAGACGGTGATGACGGTGATACCGGTGTTAAGCCGCAACACTGGTTACGTCACTTGCCCACCGCGTCACTGACCCCCACCATCGTATTGATTTTTTTATAGTAATAAAAATCATTTAGTTCTGTAAAAGAACAGACACTACAATTAAAAACTGAACGCGGCTGCTCAATGCAGCGTGCCGAACGACAGTCGCATCACACAGATCAGATTTAATTTCTCCAGTGAGGAGAGTGAGTCGAGCTGACTGACAAGAAGAGTGAGGTGAGACAGACAAGACGATCGCGGATGATTTAGTTTAGAAACGAAATGCAAAAGCGCCTGTTTGGCAATATTTTGGATTTTGAAAAGCCTGTTGACTTTTGCCGTTTATCTAAGGTGATTTTGGAAGTTTTTTAAACATTCGTTTCTTATTTAAATTGGTTTCACATTGTTTGCTGATTTTTACTTTATTTAAACTTTGTGTAATTTATTTATTTTATTTGACATCAAGGTGTATGCCGTGCCTCCAAGCTTTCTTACTCGTTTTGCTAATAAACGTTCTACGTTTCTTATTTATTTGGTTATATATTATACATGTTTACTTATTTCCAGTTTGTATACCTATTAAACTTTATGCAAGTTATTTGTTATTTTAAATTAGGCATAGCCTGCCCTATAGCATGGCGTATTTTTATTTGTTTTGTTAATAAAAGCTCTATGTTTTATATATA